CAATTGAACCTGCTGAATGAGTCGGTACCGCATTTGCATCTACATAGAGTCGTGAGTCGGTCTCTATGAGTGCATTATTATCTTCATATGATATATCGGTGTAATGAACATAATTGTATATGTTTAGTGGTGAATTATATATATGTTGCGATATGTATATGATTGAATTGTGATGTATTGCGGTGAGAAATGTGGTATGTGTATTCTATGTTGGTGTATATAGATATATATTATATGCATCGTTTGTTATGATAATGTTTCTCACCCTTCTGCGGTTTCATGATGCTCTATGAGGCATTGCAGAGTAGGTTTGCTGGAGGTCTTTGTGAAGCGTGGCTTCGTTCTTTTTGGTCGGTTGGCTCTGATATGTAGCACCGGGTAGTTAGGAAGTCTTTTGTTTCTTTTGTGATTCATCTATGTATGTATATGCCAGAATGTTTTGTAAACATGATTTATGACTTGAATTAAATTGTTGATGTATACAATGTTTATATGAATGAAGTGATTCAATGTTTAAATGTTTCCGCTTTAATTCTAAATATTGATGTGTGGGTTTTAAGGACTAAGTTCCTTTGTGGTGATTTACCCTTTGTTGCATATCTTTATGAGCAGGTGTTGTATGTGTTTTGAATTTCCTGGATAATGTGACGTACCTCTTTTATACCATGTGTTAATTTATACTCTGATAAAAAAATTTATTAAGTGCCTTAACGATTTAATTGTTTATTTGGGGGGTATAGAAAGAGGGTGTTACAAATCCCGTATCATATTTACGCCTACAATTCCCATAATTTCTTATAAATACCCCACAATCATTAAAATTCTCACAATCAATTATCCTATACGGTTAAACAACCTCAACAACAGATTTGGCCACGAAGGCCTAATTTTCCTTATCTCAAATCAGCCTCAAACCTATCAGACTATCAGTTCAAATCCCTCAAACTCATTGAACTCACCATCAGAAAGACAACAACAATTCAATACTCAAAAATCCCTAAACCCTTAAATCTGCTTTAAACACATTGAATCACATATTGAAAACAATGAAGGCAATACTTCTCGTACCTTAATTGCCGACTCCTTTCTCCTTGATTCTTGGAAACCTCGCGAAGCTTTTGCCTCAAACCTCTTCCTCAGAGCTCTGGCCTCTATTTCTTCCCTTTTCACGGTCTAACAAGAATGAATCCTAATTCCCTCAAAATTCCTTTTTGTTAAATCTAACTTTGGGCCTTAAAATGAGATTTCCAATTTCACCCTCACTAACTCCTCTTCAATGTCCATTTTGCCCTTAATTCACTTATATTTATTTAAAGTAATAATAATACCAATATATTCATATTATATACTATTATTTAAATAAATAACGCAAAATCCATAATTCTCAATACTTCATACCAACCACCACAAATCACCAAAATACGAATATTCCTATTTAAATAAATTAAATAAATATTTTAATAAATTTGGGGTGTTATAATTATCAATCATGAAACACTATGAACTGGACACAGCCTACCAACTTGATAATGAAGTAAACTTCTTGTTTGACCAAGATTATGTCAGACTCCACTGAATTTCAACCATCACTGCACATATTCTTAGGACAAAGAAAGTAAAAGGGTAGGACAAATTTAAGGTATAACAATATACTCTCAAGATCAATTCTTGAAAACAGGATTCTATCTTCTTGACCGAACCAATATAATCCTGAATTATCTCTTTACTTTCAAGTTATTTACTTTGAACTTTAACTACATTTACAAGTATTTTATAAAACCGTTTCAAACTCTAATTTATCAAATAGTTTAATTTTAAAATCATCAATTTTCAACCTCCACAATTAAACCATATATATATATATATATATATATATATATATATATATATATATATATATATATATATATATATATATATATATATATATATATATATATATATATATATATATATATATATATATATATATATATATATATATATATATATATATATATATATATATATATATATATATATATATATATATATATATATATATATATATATATATATATATATATATATATATATATATATATATATATATATATATATATATATATATATATATATATATATATATAAAGTCATATGTCCAATAAATTCAAGCATTACAAGGCATAAGATGAATTTACCCTATAAAAAAAATATAATTAGAGCAATAATCATTGAAGTAGGATTAAAAACTATTAAATAAATAAAAAACTTATTTAATTATTTACTATGTTTATTCTTATGAAATATAATAGAAACACGGTGTTTACATCATATGTTATCTCATCTTTATCAAACTTTTCTATTCTTTTAATTTTTAGATCTTTATTTTGATGGCAATAATTTCATAAGGATATGATATGATATATAGAATTTATTGAAGAGAAGATAGGATAAATTAGTGATTATAATGATCATATATCATATATTTAATATGTACGTGATTTCAAATAAGATAACACGGAGTATTATTTAATGTTTGTAGTTCGAATCAATTTATTTGAAAATAAACAGGTTTATTTTATTTTATTTAAAAAAGTAAATTAATTATTATATGAAGAATGTAAAATAATTTTATATCCATATTAATAAATATTGTATATTTTCCAAATCACTGAAGTATCTTAATATTTTTATATTAAATGGTGATCATTTTTACTAAAAAATGTAAAACCATTTTATATTATATTATCCATGTATTTTTATTAATATATATATATATATATATATATATATATATATATATATATATATATATATATATATATATATATATATATATATATATATATATATATATATATATATATATATATATATATATATATATATATATATATATATATAAAATTGAATCTTAATTATTTAATATATTATATTAAATTAATTTTTTCTTTTTTAATTTTAAACTTTAAAATAACTGTTGTCACAAAAAATTAACCATATATCAAGAATTTACTCTATTTAATTCAATTAACAGATCTCAATACAAGTACTCTATCTATTTAATTAATATCAAAATTATGATACACAAAAGTAATAATAATTAAAAACTAATATATTGTCATACATGATTTATATAATGTTAATATAATCTAAATTTTTGTTAATACTTAATGCTTTGTGTTTAAACAATTTTTTAAAGTCACACTATTAATATTCGTATTTTTTTTTCATTTTAAATTTTTTTGATGTTTTAGTAGATATTTTAATAATATTTGAAAGCTAAAAAACACAAACAAGTTTCCTATTTTATTGATATTTAATCAATCCTCACCCTAAAATAATATCCATACTAAATAATGAAAAGAAAATAAAGCAAGAAAATTAATTTATTCCCTTTTGCTGACTCACTAAATCATATATGATCTTTTACATTAATGCTCTCCCTTTTTTAAGCCACTAATCTTTCTTTCCCTTTTTTCTTTAATTAGGTATACAAGAACAATATCATAAGAATATCTTTTTAAAGTTCAAATTTAAATATTATACACAGTTTTATATCCTAAGTTCCTAACAATATAAAAAATTCAGATATTTAATTTAATTAGGTAACTAATAAAATTAGAGGATAATAGTATAATCCAACTCCCTATATTATATAGATATATTAACAAATCATTGTGCATTGCAAATTGTTCTTTCTTCCATTATAAAAAGGTCACAATTTTTGTTTTTTTTGTTTCATTATCTTCGAGATTTCTCAATATCCCTCTTTTTTTTCAGTGATTAACCTGATCACACTATCAGCACCGGTCAAGTGAAATCAACCACACAGGTCACAAATTTCTTAAGTGAGTTTTCGTTTTTGATCCCTTTTCTCAAAAAAACAATCAGTGGAATTTTTTTTTGGTTATTAAATTTCAACTTGTTTTTTTACTGGGTTGACGATTCAGATAACGGAGCTGTTAAAAGTTTGATTTTTTTGTTCTTTTTTCTGTTTAATGGCTTATGGGTTTGATGTGTTTTTTGTTGGGGTTGTTAGGTTTAGTTTGTATGTTTTAATTGTGAGTATGAATCGGATGATTGTTAGTTATTGTTTTGGTTGGTGGGAAATTGGTTAGAGAGGGTTGGTTCTAGGTGTTTCATTGTTTCAAGTTTTGAAATTTTTTATGAAAAATCAAATTCTAGTTTGCCAACAACTTTGAGATGTTTGAAGAATGATAACAAGAGGAGAATGAATATTTCAATCATGATTAACAATCTGATCTGATGTTTACACTCTAAATGACTGTTGAGTATTGTTCTTGTAGTAATCCTTGTATGTATTTGGTATCTGCTGCTTGTGTATTGGCACAGGTTAGCTATGTTGTACTTAATCACACTCTGTGTCGAAGGCAATGTCAAAAGTGTTTTGATATGTGTCGGTTTGTGTGGCAATGACATGTGCGATTGATTATATTCAATCACTTCAAATTATTTTAATGTATGTGTTAGTGTTGTGGCAAAAATTGATCCATGTAGCCGACCCCACTTAGCGGGATCAGACTTGCTGTTGTTATTGTTTGTGGTAGTGTTGTGTCTTATGTCTGTTTTTGGTGTCATGGCTAATGTTTTGATACACTGAGTCGGTGAATTCTTAGGTCATGGTTTAAACTAGTTTAATCTGCTTGATCGAGGATGAAACTGCGGTTGAACTGCTTGATCAAGGATGAAACTGCAGTTGAACTGCTTGATCAAGGATGAAACTGCAGTTGAACTGTTTAAGTAACCATAGACAATGTCGGTTCAACCTGTTGTACAGTCTGGTTCAGCTTTAAAACATTTGTCATGGCACAGGCTAGTGCGAATTGTTATTATTCAATATGAAGCACAGACACTGGTCACACTTGTCGGACACCGAAGGTGTCGATGCTGCAGTTCATTGACTATATTGGTTTCGATGTGCTTGTAGCTGTTTTTTGTAAAGAAATATGTTTGTGAGGCTGACGTGTTCTATTTCTGCAGGTGATTCTAAAATAATGGAGTCTCATGATGAAACAGGATGCCCCATACTTTGTATTAATAATTGTGGCTTCTTCGGAAGGGCTGAAACAATGAATATGTGTTCCAAATGTTACAAAGATACCTTGTTGAATAAGGAACAAGACAAGCTAACAGCAGCATCGGTTGAAAGCATTGTGAGCGGCGGTTCCACGAAAGAGATTGTGTACGATGGTGCTATTGATGTACAAGTTGGAAATGTGGAGGTCAAGACCAAGACGGTCTGTGCTGAGATTTCTGGAGATTCATCGACTAGTGAGATTCCGGAGACCAAAGTCAAGACAGGTCCAAGCAGATGTGGAACTTGCCGGAAGCGCGTGGGATTAACTGGTTTCACCTGCAAATGTGGAAACCTATTTTGTGCAATGCACCGATATTCTGACAAGCATGATTGCCCATATGATTACCAAGCTGTTGGTCGGGATGCTATCGCTAAATCCAACCCCATAATTAAGGCTGATAAGATTGACAAATTCTAGGGTTGCACTAGACCGATCCGTGTCCTGATAGTAGATAGGAAAAAAAACCTGCATTGCTTGTTTTGTTAGGGTTGGAATTCTTTGGATCATTTGTTGGTTAATCTGCTTATTTGTTCTCATTTTATTAATGATATTTACTGCTTAGTTTATGTATCCTTGGGAGTTTTTCATTGTTAATAAGTAATTTCATTATTCAAACTATACCTCAACTTTTCGTAGATGGGTCTTTTATTCTGAATTCTATGCTTTTGGATTAGATGAACATTGCAACTCCACTAATTTTAACCTTAAAAAAGAAGAGTAGTTGTTATTCTATGTTTTTGTCTGAGACACCACTTGTATTAAATAAAAATGTGAATATTTAAAAGAAAGTATTATTGAATGCTGTTAGGACTACCCAACAATAGTTACTCTCGTTAGGCTTATGATCTCACCGAGTTCATATACCCAGTAATCCGCACTTGGGTGTTGAAAATCTATCCTTTGAAAGAATGAAATTTCAATTTTCGTTTGTCCATATTTGAATTATTAGTTTGGTTAAGAGCTTATAATTATTTTTAATGGCAAATACTAATATTAATAAATGATGAAAAATTATCAATGTACAAAGATAATCACAGAACAAAAGAACAAAATTGTCAGAGATAAATAAAGAGCAATAAAATATAATAAAAGAATAAAAAATATCAAAACAACCGATCAACACTAAGGTCAAAGGAGTTCCTGCAAATAAAAGATTTAAGCTAATAAAATTTCATCTTGTTGAAAATAGAATCGATTTCAAACCAAAAAAAAAAAATCAAAACCTATTTCTGAACCAAGACAAAATTTTGATCCGCCATATATGCAGGTAAAGGATATGGTTTTGAAGTTATTCAATGAAGGTGTAAGAGTTCATCCTTGATCCACTCAGAAACTATTTTAAAGCCAAATAAATGCTCTTCTCCTACACTTCTTTTGCTGATTTCATGAGTCCATTAAAAATTACACCGTTGTGGACTTTTCAAATTGACCAGACTACAACATGTTAAATCAAAAGATAACCACATGTATACTTAATCGTCCTCCCTAAATAAGAAATGGCTCAAACAAGACCTATCATCACTATGAATAACTACATGACACACCAACCACTTAAAGACTCTATACCTCACAGACAAGACTAGCTCACATGTAACAAAGACATGGAAAAAGTTGACTCAACCAAAAAACTTACACAAGAGATTTTATTAGGATCTAAAATCACCCGTCTCTTAGACAGGTTTTCTCTAGACGAAAGTCTATTTTGCAAAAGTTTTTAAGAGAACACCAAGATCTTAGAAGAAGCCCAACTAATCCAAATGAAGGGGAGGATCCGACTATAGGTGGCAAAGAAAGGATGAAACTAACCCTTTGGACAAGGTAAGCGGCGACCACTGAGAAAATACCCTCTCTAGAATGCTTCTAAATTCACTTATCTTTATCTAGTAAAAGAGTTTCATCTTGAAGCAGAGATAGAAGCTACTCAATAATGGGTAACTCTCTAAGAAATAAGGGTCGCAACTGTTGGGAAAATAATTTCAAGCACAAAATGGGATGGGGTGAATTGGGGTATTTAAAATTAGTGATTAATTTTAGAGATTTATTACTTAAATAACAAATTGTGTTAGTATTTTTAAGATCGGAGTAAATTTATTAGTGAAATGTAAAATAGTAAAGTAAATTTAAAAAAATAAAGAGATAATGGTTTAAAGAGATTGCACCAGTGATTTATCTAGGTTCGGCCGAATGTTGACCCACTCCTATCCCAAACAAATCTTCTTGAGATTTTGACTATAAATTTTTTCAAGAGTATCACACTCTCGATAATTATAACAACATCACGACCAATACAATTTATGCCTCACAAGAAGTGTTTCACTCAAAAGCACCAAGGCAACTTTAAGTGAAAGAAAATATTTCTTAGAGATAGAGAGAGAGAAAATAGAGAGATAAAATCCAAAGAAAATGAGAACTTTCGTAAATTTGTGTGAAATGAAGAGGAGGCGACCATCCTTTATATAGGAGATGAAAAAATAAAAAAAAGAAACTATCCACAGGCAAATTTTAATGCCCAATCAATTGGCTTAAGGTCACAATCGATCGGGTGACCTAATTAATCAATTATCTTGGCCCATTTTAGAAATTTTGGATAAGGAACCTTTGTAAGTCATTAAGACACTGTCCTAATTCATTCGGTAATCATTTAGGCCTCTTCTAATCGATTGGTTTAAGTACCAAACCGATTTAGTAGTTAAAAAAAAATCTTCCAATCGATTGGCTTAAAGTCTCAATCAATTGGATGGTTCAATCCAATCGATTGGCTTAAGGTCCCAATCAATTAATTAGTTTTAAAATGCTTCAAAAAGTAAGGTGAAAATATTTAATCAAGCGGCTCAAGATTGAAAACATTTTAAAGATCTTTGATATATAAAAATAAGTTTTAAGTATGTGTGTGTGTGTGTGTGTGTGTGTGTGTATGTGTGTGCGCGCGTGTAACAACCCAAATTTCATTAAATAATTAATTATAGTAATTAATTGATTTAGTGGGATTTTTATTAATGTTGGAATTAATTTTTATTAATTGGAATTTGTAGTAGAGAATTGAGAAGGAAATAGAATGGAAAGAAAATAATAGAGAGGAAGGAAAAGAAATAGAAGAATATAAAAAGGGAATTGGAGAGAAAGAGAAAGATAGAAAAGAAAAAGAAGAGAAAGGAAGAAGAAGAGGAGAAGGGAAAAGCTTGGAGAATCTTCAAGAACCGATTTCGAAGCTCCGATTAATCGAGGTAAGGGTGAGAAACATTGCTATTTAATCATTGTATGCTATTATGTATGTTGGGTTGGGTTTGTGGATGTTTTTCATCACTTTCCAATTAGGGCAAATGTTGGATTAATCGGTAGATTGATGATTTAATCGGTTGGAACTGAGTAATAATGCCGTAGAATAGTCGGGTAACATGTATTGATGTTGTTTGTACTGATTTGGGTGTGTAAGAGAAGGTTGATGATGGATTGGTGAAGGAGGGACATAATAGGGTTCTGTTCTGCGCAGGTTCGCTGGCTCTCGCCAGGCGAGCAAAGGCGAAGCTTCGCCAGGCGAAGCCTAGCGAATGTTGGCGAATAATTATGATTAAGTTCCAGTGGACTTCGCTGGCGAGTTCGCCAAGCGAAGTGGGATAGCGAAGGTTCGCCCAGCGAAAGTGCTGGCGAATGGTGGCGAATGAAGTCAGTAGCTACTGACTTGGGCTCGCTGGGAAGTCTCGCCGGGCGAAGCCTAGCGAGTGTTCGCTGAGAGAGTTCGCCAGGCGAAGGCCAGGCGAAGGTTCGCTGCGAGGGTTCGCCAGGCGAATGAAGGCGAATGTGACAGCATTTTTCTTTTGCTGTGTTGCTCATGTGGTGATTGTTTGGTTGATTCACATAGGTTAATACCTCTATGATATGAATAAGTATGTGATCCATGGTGATGATATGTGCTGTGGGTAGTCTTTGGGCGTGAATCCTAGAATTGTGGTATGAGTATTAATCAGATCGATTATAAATACATGAGAACATGATAATGATTATGTGTGTATTATTTAATAATGGTAATGTGCGTATTATTTGATGAGTTTGTGAGGGTTTGATGTAGTGTACAATTAGGTAATAAGTATGCATGAGAACATTGTGGATATATGTGTGCATAGCTTATAATTGTATTATTGGTACTGTGACATGTATACCTTGTATGAAATGGCATGAGATGAATAATAAACATAATACAAAAATGTATTGTGGATGTATATTGTTTATATGCGGTTGTATGTTAAGGTACATGAAGAATGCATGAGAGCATATTGATGGGTATGCGTGCATCGTTTGATAAATATGATGTTTGTATTGATTGGATGCGATTATGTATGAACAATGCGTGAGAATATATCGTGGATATATGTACATTGCGTGGTAAATGTGTTATGCGTGTAAGCATGATGTAATTCTTGTATGATGAATTACTTGAGAATGCATGAGAACATATTATGGATATGTGTGCATTGTTGATAATACGGTGATGATATTGAATTGTGAATGTATATTGTTGGTATATGGTGGTATGAATAGAATGCATGAGAACATGTCATGGATATGTGTGCATTGCTTGATAGATGTTGTAAATGCATATTGTATGTATGTGATTAAATGTGAATAATGCATGAGAACATATCGTGGATATGTGTGCATTGTTTGATAACTGTGAAGAATGCATGAGAACATATCGTGGATATGTGTGCATTGTGAGTGATAATGTGGTGATAGTGTTGAATTATGAATACATCGATAAATGTTATGTGAATATGTTGTGTGTGCAATCATAATGTAATTCTTGAAGAGATGAATTATTTGAATGCATGAGATTAAGATGTCGGTCTTAAGTGCATTTGTTGTGACTGATTGTACATGCATCATTTAGTCAAGAGGCAATGTCTGTTAGTTTCGTGGAAACTAGTGGCTTGTCCCAAACCTAGAAGAGTGGGTTTGAAGGCTTAGAGGACGGGCCTTTGTGGTTATCGGTCTAGAAGAGTGGACCCGGTTTAATGTAAAAACCGAAAAAAGATAACGGGTTATCGGTCTAGAAGAGTGGACCCGGTTTAATGTAAAAACCGAAAAAAAAATAACGAGAGTCGGTACCGCATTGCATGAGTTGCATTGAGTTATTGAGTCACATTGATATATGACATATGCATGAAGAGATGCTTATGTGTGAATGATGAGATTGTGGAAATTGTAAGTGTATGCATAATGTGGAAATGCTTTGTGAATATCCAGGTTTGTCTATATATGTGTGGTAAATATATATGACTAAGAGAATGAAGTATGGTGAGAAATGTGAATATGTGTTATATGACTACCTATATATATATAATCTTATGCTTTGATTATTATGGTTATATTTCTCACCCTTCTGCTGTTTTATAATGCTCTATGAGGCATTGCAGATTAGG